GCTAAAGATAAGCTAATGATAAAGTTGGCATAAGAACATGCAATGTCAATTGACACGAATAGAGATACTCGAGCTAAGGCAAGTTCATTGAATTCTAGAGTTGTGAAAGCATGTGTGGTGCTGATCTTGGCCTTAGCCTAGCGATTGTAACGGTGAGCATTAGTCCTACAGAAGTCCAAAGGACCAAATTTGTCATATAATTCACTGAGTGCTTGCTTAACATGAGTATGATTGTGTCTACCTTAATCAACTAATTTTTCGTATAAGGATTTTTTTCTTTTACTAGATAATAGATAGATGAAATTTATATGAAGGCAAATTTTAATTTTTGTTGTCATCCTAACAATATATGTCCACCCATTTATTTATTAAATTATTGTAAATACTTGAATTTTGCATTTGGTCTATTGCCAAGCTTGGTAGAAATGTATTCTGAAGACAAATGTACCCGTCAAAAAATAATAAAAGGGTTCAAATTACTAAAAATTTATCTGTCTAATTATTTAAACATAATGGATGCAAAATTGCACATTTACACTAAAGAATTTAAAACAATTATCACCAGATCTCAAAGCAGAAATCACAACACATGTATTAGGAAAAATTATAGGAGGAAAACCTAAGGTATATGAGTTTACTCATTCAATCCTTTATATTCTTTTTCTAATTAACTCTAGATTCGATGATCGTATGATTACCAACTATTTATATAATTTCTATTAATATCCAATGGTCATGCATTATTAACATTCTTTCCTCTAAATTAACACCCCCAATGGTCATGCAAGATATCAATTGAGGGAAGCATAAAGAACCTATAAACTTGTTAATCTAACAACGATTGAAAGAGAAAGACCGGTTTGGTGCATCTAATTCTTTGTCTCGTATTATCCTACAGATCCATTAATTAATTGAGGTACAGTCGCTTAACAATGTAATTAATTAGAATTATGATACAAGTGGTCAGTTCACAATACACAATCAACCGCAATAGGAAAAATACTAATCATAACATAAATCAAATCTAAATTTAATTATAAAAACTCTATAAAGTCATGAACAAGAATTCCCATAGCCCTAGCTATAGGTTTAGTTACTCATGTTTAAGAAAGAAACCAAAATATTTGTAAATAAAGCCATAAACAAAGGTGAAAAATAAACTAGAGGGAAGATCCTGAATAGAGAGTTTGACATGAAAACTCCATGCTTATTTTCAAAACTAACTAAATACAATTTGTAACAAAAGCTCTAAGCAAAACTATTTCAAAAAATATAATGATTTTACTAGTAAACCTTGTTTAGAGGTAATTTAAGATTTACAAATTTGATATTTTTGAAATAATAGATATACTGTGAATATTAGATGTTGCAAAACTTGATAGATGACTGTATTGATACTAAGAAAGCGTGTAGATTGAAATTGTACAATAATTGGACTAAGTTCGAAGGTGTTCGACCTCCGGCATATTGTATTGATTTGTGTGGTGTGAAATTGTTTAAGGACCTTATGTGTAACATCTTAATTTATTTCTAAAATAAATCAATTTCGCAATAAAATGGGAATAACAAAAATTTCATTCAAATGGTTCCAAATACATAATTTTATTTAAGTATTTTAAAATAATGATGAATTACAAATTTGAACCAAATCATTGCTACAGGACTTAATTAATACATCATAATTTCAAAAGAATAATTTCCTAAGTCCTATAGTAGTTTCATCCATCCTTTCACTGAGCCTGGTGCTGATTATCTTGGTCACCTGAAAAATAAATGTAAGAGTGAGTATTCTACGCTATCAGACACACACCAAGCATAGATACTCACCTCGCATGTTCCACACATTTCTAACATTAATCAAATCATCATCAAACAACATAAATTCATGCTTTTTCAAACATTCCAAACATTCCACATAAACGTGCGCTCACTGCATGTTAGTCACGCTCATTGTGGCACTGCGATAACAGATTCATGACGCCTTCAACCTCAGGGACTTAGTTTCACACCATTGATGGTTGCCGGTTAACCCCCACCTCACGGATATAACGTGTGCGGTCATGAGCCCCTTAGCAAAGGTGTTAATTAGAGACAGAGTCAGGAGAAAAGTGTATAGCCTGTGGTGAACCCACGCTTATAATTGGTTCATCCATGTATTGTGACATATTGATTGATGCGGTATAATACATGTATTATGACATACAAACTAGTATGAAAATGCATGTTATAAATATTTGCAAAGATGATTGATTGGTTGGTGTGTATGCTCTGTTGTGATAATGATCTATATGATTTAAGTGTTATCGTTAATCCAATGTATATTAGATAATATTTTCAGTATTATATATATATATTTATTTATTTATTTATTTATTTATCTTCTTTTGTCGAATAAGAAATTTAGTAGGGCGAAAAATACTCATCCTCACTAACTATTTTTAGGAAGGCGAATGAGGACTGAATAAAGATGATTAATCCATTCTAGGATCATAGTCCAATGATATTGGAAGGAAGACTGCTCTGTAGAGATTAAAATGATTTGAGAAATTGTAGCACTTTACTCTAATTACATTTTATGTTGACCAATATCTGTAAATAATTTTAAATGTCAGATTTTAGAATTTATAATACTTTTGAAAATTTTGTTGAAATGAATAATTTAGAAATGTTCTTAATGGTATTTTAAACTTATATGTATGTGACACGAACCGAATAATTGTTTGATGTAATTCAAAATTTTATTCATCACTTTAATGTCTCAAAATTAGTTCTTTGGAAGTTTTAAATATTTTGGAATCTTATAAAATTTTCATAAGAGGAATGTATGTTTTGCTTTTATTCAATTCTTAAATCTATAAAATGGAACAAAATTCTCTTATTTTTCTCCTTTTGTTACAAAAAATTATTTATTTTTAAATAAGAAATTGAGGATGTTACACCATTCTCCAAGTCCAGTCACTTGAAGATCTAAATCCTCCAGAAACATGCTAAAGATCCCATACAGAAGGAAGAGGGAGTTACTCAGAAACTCAAGACTTAAGTCTAAAGAATGGAATGCTGAACTGCTGCTTCTATTCTTCATTTTATAAGGTTTTTAAGTACCAAAATCATGTAGAATTTGTGAATTGTGTAGGTGAGCATGGTTGTGCCAGATGAATGCATGATCGTGCTTATGCTAGAGTCATGGGCGTGCTTGATTGCAGCACGACCGTACATGCTAATGAAGCATGGGCATGCTTCATCCTTAATAGCCTAATTCTCTCAAAATTGTGCCCAAAATGTCCATAAATCCCATGAGCCTTCACACATGCTCATCTACAACAATTAACAGAGTATTTAGTGTAAAAATCCATTCAAATTAATAATAAGTGCATATGATCATGCTCAAAAAGTATGTCAAAATATGAACTTATTAAAATGCTATTAGATTAGAACATGGATGAATTACCTTGTAAATGAGATGTTTTTCTAGGCTTACATTAACCATAGCGGTAGTTTTCAATAACTTATATAAACTATTGAAAATAGTAATTTTCCTTTGAATAAAAGATAAGAAAACAAAAAGAAAAAGAAAATTTGAACAATTAAGTAAAACTGATTTCTTAAATCCAAAGTCAATTAGTCTAATATCCATAAGTGTCTTATGATGAAGATTGTTTTTTTTACTAATAGCATGCAATTTTTTATTTGATTATATGAAACAACTTAAACACTTCACTTTAGATCTTATGGAAGTTCATAATGATATTTCTATCAGTGAGTTTAATATAAAAGTAAATTAATAATTAATAATTAAAATATAAAATTATTTTAAATAAGTATTAATTTATCTTTCTTTCTTGATTCATCTCTAAATATTATATTTTTAAATGAGTTCATGTATTTTTTTAAGTATCAACAAGAGATGGTACGTGAGTTGATTGTATCATAAAAATTATTACAAGTCAAAATAGTTATTGTCAATAAAAGATATATAGCCAAGCGTTAAATAACTTGGAACATTATGCATTTTGATTGAATTTTGATATAAGTATAGTTGGAGAATAATGTTTTATAATAAATTTTATTTGTTATCATATTTAAGTGGTTCTTAAACATATTGAATGATCAACTGAGTATCATATAGCAAGCAAGTTAATGAATAGTAATAAATCTATTCTTAGGTGGAAAAGAATAGAGGACTAACTTAAACTTATAAAAAGGTAAAAAAGAATCCTAGAAAGAATACAAGCTCAAAAGTTAAAAACCTATGAAGAATAGCAACAGGCTTCTTGTCATAAAAAAATTACATAATGATAATAGACAGTAAGACTAAGAACAAGTGAATGCTATAACCACGTCTAATAAATGTATTTACACAGCAAAATTCAATAAGTTGCTTTATCTACTCAAGTATTTTTACTTAATTTCTAACAAACTAAATTATTAAACTATCTACAACAAAAGAAATAAAGAAAAAAATTGTCATCATACATTATTTTAACAAATATATTTAAAATTATATAATAAAAAGCACGAGAAACAAAACTTATGTACGTAGATAAAATATCAATAGACAAAGTAACAAAACTTATTATCTTATACCATAAATAATTAAACTTTTAATACAAATTTTATAATTAGTTTTTAATTTATAAAAAATTCTCTTTAATTTAATTTTGTTAATATAATAAAATATTTATTATTAAACATTAAATAGTTATCTATAAAAGTTATTAAATCATATAATGTTTTAATTTTTATTTGAAAATACTTTTTTTAATAATACCAGTGCAAAGCGAAAAAAACTTATTAAATTTATGATGGTTAAGACTCTGATATTGTTTAGCAATTGAAAATTAATATTATCAGGATAATTCGTATTTATCTTTGAAACAAAGCAACACTAACTCAAAAACTAGTTAAAAGTATTTTATTAGCACAGCAATAATTGTTGAGTTACTACGTTTACACTAAAACAAACACAATAGAAAAGGGCACCAGATCAGTCAGTACCTTTACTAATCACTAAGGATAATTTGTGGGATGTGTGCGATTTGGCGACTTATAGGACTTGTCTCTGTTCGGCATTCTTCAACTAAGAGGGAACACCTCGCAACCTTAAAGATCTTTAAGTTGGTAAGACGACTCATTCCTTCGGGCAGCGACGCCAATTTTGGGCAGAGTGCAATTGTGATCTCTTGAAGGGATGAGAGGTTGCAAATCCAATCTGGCAAAGCCTTTAGGTTTTTACAATAACATAATGAAATCTTTTGCAGAGAAGGAAGGCAGTTGGTGTCTTCCTTGAATCCAGTTTCAAATTCCTCGAGTGTTTCACTTCTACACCATACAATTCGAAGAGACTCGAGAGAAGTCAGATTTTGCATCCAACCCTTTGGTAAATTCGTAGTATCAGTTATGTCCAATTCTTTGAGCATGGAAAGAGGAGCAGCGGAGGAAGAAGATGAGTCAGCTGAACATGTTGAAGCTGTTGTGTTTAGTGTTGCTACTAATGGCTCCGCAGTGCATTCACAAAAATCCAAAACCTTAACTTTTGGAAAAGTAGGCATGCAAGTCAACTTTGGACAGTACGAGACGTGTAATTGAGAAAGATGAGGAAACGAAAGACGTAAGGAGAGATGTTGTGAATTTTTAGAATCATTGATATCATCTCCCAGCCTTCGCCATCCCTTGAGCTTAAAACAACAACGTAATGTGAGGCTCTCTAGAGAGGGGCAGAAGGTCACTGCAAAACCATCTTCATGAAGATATATGTATTCCAATTCATCAAGATTAGTTATCTCAAGTGACTTCAGGGAGGGAAGACGTTCCAACGGTGGGAGAGAGCGACAATTACGAAACATGAAGAGAGAGATGTCAACAACATTTATGAGGAGAGTAAGCCAATCTGGGAAACGCATGCCTGGATAACAATGCACCTTCAATCGCTTAAGATTATGATGGGGCTGAAGGTTTTCTAACAATTGCAAGCTGTCACTGTTACGTATGTCTCCATGCGACCAAGTCAGAGTCAAGGATTGGAGGAATCTTTTTCCTTTTAAATTTACATCTTGTGATTCCAGAGCCACATCTCTTACACGATCGAGCCGCTTAATTTCTAACTCTCCCCTTAGGTTCAAGTCTTTCAATTCATTTAGTGTGCCTTCTTGGCTACCTCCCACCACAAAGACGGGTAAGAATTGCAACCAGGATAATTTTCCCCACCCCACTGCCATCCGACTCAAGAAGTCATAATCACCAACCTCAAGCCATCTCATATTGACTAATTTTGTGATCACTTCAGAAAAGGATTCTTCACCGCAATTCCTCAATTTGAACGTTTGTAGGAAAACAAGATTGTTCATAAATTTGGGAAGACTTGTTTGTTGGGTTAAAACAAGGTATCTTAAATGCTTCAAATCTTCAGTGGGATCAGTGAGATGATGCATCCTCAATACGCGCAAGTATTTGAACTTTGCAATAACTGACAAATATTCCTCCTCTTCGAAGTCATATGGCAAAATTAAAGTTCGCAGCCTGCTCGGATCTAATGATTTCAACAAATGAACGGCCTCAGCAAATTCCAATGATACGTGTATGGGACTACCCTCAATTTTTTCTGCCTTGCTATCCAAGTAACAGCAATCATTGCCAGCAACAAGCATTGCAAGGTCATGCATTAAATCATGCATTTTGAGACTAATGATCTCACCATATTTATCACTCTTTGAATCTTGAAAAAATGAGTTCATCAAAAAAAATTTTACAAATTGGTTACCGATATCTTCCATGTACATGTGCTGTTTTTCAGTTGAACATTTAAGGTAACCCTGTGCCATCCACAACTGAATCAACTCATCTTTTGGAATTTCTGAATCCTTGGGATATAAAGAGCAATAAGCAAAACATTGTCTCATTTCTGGCGACAAGTTTTGGTAACTGAGCTTTAGAATTGGCATGATACTGTCTTGCTCTTCGCATAATTTCCACAAGTCACCACGTAAAACATTCTCCCATTCACTTTCTTCATTTTGTCCTCGTAACAGGCCTCCCAGCGTTTTAACTGCTAGTGGAACCCCTTTACACTTTTTGGCTATTTCTTTCCCCATTGATTCTAGATTTTGATTCACTCCCTTGCAATCATCTTCAAATGCAATGTTTTTCAACAAACTCCAAGATTCTAAGTCAGTCAAACCTTTCAAATGATAGAAAGTGCTAGCTGCCATTGCATTTGCTACGTTTTCATTTCTAGTTGTCACTAAAATCTTGCTATCTTGAGAGCCACACATCAAGTACTTTCTCAATTCAGCCCATTTGTTACGATTCTCATTCCAAATGTCATCCAGGACCAACAAATATTTCTTATGACTTAAATTTTCACGAAGTTCTTCTTGCAAGTAGTCTAGTGACGACCCGTCTGCTATCTGGCAACGAGTAACTGATTGTAATATTTTCTTCATAATAGTTTTCACTTCAAAGTTATCGGACACACAGACCCAGATTCGCTTTTCAAAAGAATTCTGCACCTCCAAGTTATTATACACCAACTGAGCAAGCGCTGTCTTCCCTAAACCACCAATGCCAATAATCGCAATCACAGAAACTTTTTGCTTTTCATGTGGTTGTCTCAACAGACTAATAATCTCCTTTTTACTGTCATCTCTTCCAATGATATCTGACTCTAACACAAAAGAACATGTTTCCCTCCATTCACTATTAGTTTGCTTAACCACTTTTGATCTTGGACTTAAATTCAAATCCTTCATTTCTTTTACTGCATCGTTAAAACTTTCTCGTATTTCTTTAATTTTGTCAGGCATTTCACTGTATAAAGGAATTTGATTTGAAGATGAAATGGAACGAAGTACCTGTTTTACCTCTTTTCCTTCTGCTGCATCCAGTTTTTCTCTCGTAAATTCGATAGCTAGGTGATCTAAGAAGTTATCTGCAGTATAAAGTACTTCTTTGAAGTCAGATATCCAATTACGCACACGAACTTGTTCTTGTTTGTGGTCAGCGTCAAGCAGCACATCATTGATAGATCCAATTGTCTTCTTAAGCGCTTCCAACTCTTCCATCACACCATACTCCTGTCCAAGTTCAAGAAAATCTGGGGAAGCTAACCTGTGAATAAGATTTGATGCAACAGCAAATGGCACTGATTCAAACTTAGCCATTAGTGAAAGAAAATGACGAAGAAGTGTTGATATTGACATTGGATATATATATATATATATATATACACACTTCTTTTATATGTAAAAGAATATATCTAATTTGTAAATAGTAAGAGTGTAATAATAATAAATGTTTTCTTAAACTTTTAACGAGGCATAAAAAAGATTTTTCTTTTTTTTTAAAATGGTGACGGATAAAAGGGAAAAGGAAAGTATATTCTTTAACACTTTTCAATATATAAAATTATCCAAGCTACCACTTCATACTTTCTTTTTATCTTTATTTAAAAAAAATCTGATCAAATGACATTATTGTTATTTTTTTTATAGCATATGACTATTTACATTAAAGAACTTTTGACCTTTAAGTTGTTATTTGTATTTAATATTAGATACGATTAAATTAAATGTTTTAAATATATATTTTATTATTGATTTTAATAAATACTTGTGCTTAAAATCTCTTAAAATAATTTTTTAAAAAATTATTGGTAAAAAAAAGTGTTTCAAGCAAATTTAGTATTAATAGAAGATATTTCTTTTTAATATTTAACTGCATAACATAATTTTGATAATGACCAAGTAGTCTGTCAACTTAATCATTCTTGAAAAAGATATATTTTATGAATTAATTTTTAATAAGTTATTTAAATTCTTTATATTAAAAATAAGTTATTTAAATCACCTTTAAAATTCACAAGTGATCGCTGCAATGTCTTTTTATTTTATAAAGTTTTAATGCCTTTAATTATTGAAAACTAAACATATATCAAATACTTTTAGACATTAATTATGAAACAAAGTTTTACTTTCTTGTCTGCTTAAATAAATATTTTAATTTTTGTAATTTTAAATAAATATGAAGTTAAGTTTGGTGGTTCTTATAAATCTTTATCTTTTCTTCTTCTTAACCCTTATCATCTATATAAATTTACTAGATTGAGCGAGAGTACTAGAAAGATAAATATACATTCACTAAATTAATAGATACACATTCACTGAATTGAGCGGTAGGATTTAGTTGTTTTCATTATCTTTGTTATTATTTTAATGATTACAAGAAGATAATCTATAATATTATAAATATTAAGATTATATATATATATATATATATGACAAAATATAATTCATAATTTTAAGTATATATAATATACATGTTTGAATTTAATTAATATAAATAATAAAGGAATCAATAATTTCAAACAATGAAGGCAAAATTGTTACACACTTTCGTAGCCTATTTGGGTTGTTATTAACCGAAATGAGTGATTCAACTAAATTAATGGTGCTGAATTTCAAAGTTATGTAACTCAAGCTACTAAATATTAATAGGTATTGTATTAAAATTTTTCTTTCAGATTTAAATACTTACCGACACACCATAGTATTACTTTAGTAAATGGCACAATATTATTAAACTAAAATAATATTTCACTGAATAATTATAAATATATATACAATACAAAATTTTAAAATTTAACAAATTAATTAATTTTAAAAAATAAAATCTTATAATTATTAATAATAAATAATATATTATATTAGGTAAAAAAATTAAACTATAAGAATTAATTTCAAAATTTAATTTAATAAATTTAAAAATATAATTAATATAATAAAAATCATTTGCCACAGTAAAAGAACCAAATTTAGAAATACTGTCATTTGAAAACTTTGTTAAAGACATTCTTAAAATTCACACTCATAAACTATATATAAAAGTTTATTATTGGATATTAATATAATGCATTTAAAATGTTCTCTAATGCTACTATTTCAGATATCTGATATTATTTAAATTTTTTAAGAGTGAATTTTAGTATTTTACCAATAAAATATACTCTCACTGTAAAACTCTCCTTGCATAATATTATATTTAACATAGCCATAGTATTTCATTCAGACGATCAATTATGTAGAGTTAAACTTGGTAATCATATCATAATTAATTATTATATTTATATAATTTGACAATTACATGTTTTTATATTTTTTATTTTTTATTATTGAGAGATATTTTTTAAGTTAAATTATTATCAGGACATTTAGATTCTACTTGTTGATACAAATAAGTTTAAAGTAAATTTTTTAGTCATGATTTATTATTTTATTATAAAAAATAGTTATACAAAACTAGTCTAAAAATTTGAATTCAGGGTGAAAGAAGTTAGTCTCCAAACTTAAATTTTTTTCTTTTGTAAAAATAATGTTTAAGATTTTTTTAGAATTTAAGAGTAATTCAAAATATCTTCTTTTCATTCATGATGTTTTGTAATTTAAAATATTTTAGTCGTTGCATATATGTGAGTATAAATAGAGTTTAATAAGAAGTTCTTAATTTAGTATTAGTTTTATCACCTAACAATAACAGGATTTGAGAATTTAGAGGAATTTATCTATATAAAATAATTGTAAAAAAGAGAATTTAACATAAATAATAGGTTTGTAAATTAAAAGTTTCATCTCATTGGTATTTAATAAAGATATAATGATATTAATTGTTAAGAATTTAATTAAGAAAATAAAATTATAACATTTTAATTAAAAAAATTAACGTATAGAACTTAATTAAAAATGCAAAGAATCTACATGGACTAAAAATTAATTCATCATTTAACATATTAAAAGAAGTTAAAATACATGCAAAATAAAAATTATAAAAATAATAAGACATTTAAATGAAGATTAAATTATAAGTAAAAAAATAAAATAAAATAAGGACATTCAAATGTTCAACAATGCTTTACAAAACCTTAAAATGGATTAAAATGTAATGCATTTTAATTTCTTTTATGAGAAGAGGTTATATAGTTTTAAAAAAGAAATGAGGGTAATGTAACATACATATTTTTAATCAATATTTTTAAAAAACTGAATAATGTAATTTAGTTTAACCCGATGTTTATTTTGATTAATTTATTGAAATATTAGAGTCATGATTGATTGACAAACAATAAAATAAAAATTCTTCTACGCAATACATAAAAGATTGAATTGAATTTTCCTCTTAAAATATGCATATGTTACAGTACTCTACCTTTATTTTAAAATTATTTAATTTTTTGTGAAAAACTAAAATGCATCACAATTCAACAGATTTTAAACTGTGTTAAAGCATTGATGAATATTTATTTGAATTTTTCTTACTAAAATAATTTTTTTAATAAATTTGAATTCTTTTAATTTTTCAAGAAGCTCAACGATTTCAATATATTTTTCATGAAAAAAATAAACACTTACCATTGTTATAAAATTTTGTCTCAAGAGAAAATAATGAAATAAAACTAAACAAATTCCCTCATCGAAACGTACAAGATGTAGATGAGTTAAATTTTAACATATTCAAAGAAAAAGATAAAGTGCAATTTTTTTAAAAAAATAGGGCATTTAGATAAAATATAATTATTATTTGCTTTGATTTGAGTGAAAATATAATTTGGTAGGAAAGTAGAAATTCCAAAATAATACCAGCAAACAAACTTTAAATACTAATTATTGTTTTGAAAAAAGTTAGAAACCTGAGAAAAAAAAAAAAGTGAATGGTTAAAACTCAAAAAACAAGATAAGGACAGTTGAAAACTATACAAGGAAAAAGGTTCTTATAAAAAAGATAAAATAAAGCGTAGAAAAAAGTCTTAAATAAAAAATAAAAATAAAAAATATCAATTTTTTATAATATAATAAAGGAATAAATGATTTTTAGTCTTTATGTAATTTTTTGTTTGCAATTTAATCCTTGTAAGTAAAAAAAATTATATATTAGTTTTTATATAAAAATATATTTTTAACTTTTAGAGACGATGAAAAAATGTAACCATAATAATAAAAAAAATTTAAAATATCATTTATTTCTAAAACAAGTTTTTTTTAAAAAAATTCTATAGTGCTTTAGAAAATGTTTATACTCTTGTATATGTGGAACAATTATAACCTTTAATTTTAATAATAGAGAGTTAGTGGTATATTTGAAAAAAACAAATATTTTTTAATATTTTAATATAATTTAAAAAGAGTTTTAAGTTTAGAAGTACCGTATTAAGTAAATTTTATTTTATTTTTTTTATCTTTTAGGTGGCTTGTGTTGTATCAACCGTTAAAAGATATAAAGACGGTAAAACAATACCACAAAATAAACTTTAAATGACAAACATGAGAAAAATTTAAAACGACAGGCATAAAACACTTTTAAAAACAATTAGAAGTTATGAGAAATCTAGAATAAACAGAGATTACAAAAGTAAAATAAAATACATATCAAACAATTTATATGAAAGAATAAAAAACACACATGATTAATAGTGTGTTTTGGTACTAATTAAGTTTGTGAGTTTAGCAGAGTAATTTGCGAGTTTGAAGACGGAAGTATGAAGCCTTGGAACAGCAACGGAAACCTACGCCAAATTGGTTATAAGTTGAAGAAAGGCAGAGGAAACGAACCTGTGAATGAGATTTGAAGTAACTGCAAATGGAATTTGTTCAGCCATCCTTAGAATAATCGAGAAAGACTATAAAAGGCTACTTGATATTTGAAAAGCTGCAATGTGTGTAAATTTTGAGATTGGAAACAGAGGAAGCAAAAACACTCTCTTATGAACCCAGCAACCCATGATTTATTAATTCAATTATTTAATCTAATCTTCAATTATTTATTCGTTTAGTGGTTTGATCTTATCTTTAATAATTATAAATACAAATAGTTATGATGTGAAGTTCTCCACTGAAATTTAATACGGGAAAATTGTTTGTAAAAATGTGAGTACAACTCATCAAATAATGTAACGACAGAGAAAAACTAATATTCAAAGTAGCATTTACAAATAATAAACATACTATTGGTGGTTGGTACTCTTTCTAACAAAAAAGTTAACGAATGCACACAATTTTACGGTCAACGAATACAGTGATCACCAGTTCTAAAAGTATCTGGAATATTCTTGGTATTTTAATTCAAGCTAAACGTGACGGTAAATTTATAATTTTTGTTTAAAAGAAGTAAACATATGAATCATGAATTACACAGATAATTATAAATATTTTATTCCTTTCAAATATTAGAAATTAAATGTTAACAATTTTTTTATGAGAATTAATTTAAAAAACAGCACTATTTAGAGAGAGACTAAATTATTATTTTATTTTATTTTAAAAGTTATATTGAACAATGTTAAAAATTTTACATTAACACTTAATATTTTGTTTTTTTTTGTTGGTAAATTTCGTGATACACAGTTTGAAAACTAAATAATTAAATTTGATAATAATTTTGTTTCATAAAAAAAAAGCATGTAATGTTTGAGAAATAAGGAAAATATATCAATTGTATTTTCTAAAAATTGTAAGTGAGATTTACTTTAATTTTTTTATTTTTAAGGAGTTTTAAAAGGTATAAGAAGATTTTGAAAATAATTTATAATTTTTATAAGTTTTTTAATCTTAGGTTAATAAATTAGAAACTTATTAAAATAAACTTTTTGATAGGGAAAACAACAACACCACTAAAAGTACCAAAGTGCACAGCCAAAATAATTTTCTGAACTTGCACGAACCAATGAAAAGTAGCAACAATAGATGATAATAGCAATCCAGATAGACACATATATTTAACGTGAGAAAATCCTTTTAATATAATAAGTAAAAACTCACAGGTATAAACTAATTAATCAAGTCCATTATAATCAATTAAGGGGTATAAGAGAGTCTAATCAAATGTACAAATAAATACTTACAATCAGTTAATATATCAAAACAATAAAGCTTTTAATTTGAAGAATAAAAAAAAAAAACCTAAAAATAGAGCAACTGTGTAAAATTGATTTCTCTAACTACATATTTCTAATCTAGGATCCCAACAGTCAAAACAAAGATTTCTGTCTCATAAACTTGTGGTCCAATTTTCAGCTTAATCCAACCATGAACGGGAATCACAATTTTATTGAATAGTATATGTGGATATGCAGACCGATTTTTTGTCCTCTTTCTCTCTTTTTTCTCTCTCTCAAAAGTTGCAAAATTAAAACCCTCTCTTGACCAATAAGACCTCTTTTCACTTAGGTTAAGTGAGACAAAATAGGTTTCACAGTTTGAACTATTTAGACATATAGTTGGGAGCCTAACCCAAAATTTTTTAAATTTTTTAATAAATTCTGTAATCAAATTTATATCATAAAGTCTTATGTAATAATTTTTTAGATAAGTATTCAATTAAAATTTTCACTAATTTTTTAAATTAATCGATTTACAAATATAATTTATTTTAATCCTTTTTGATTCAAAATATCAATAAAAAATTATTTTTGTGTAAAGAATTTGACAAACAAAATTTAAAAAGTTGAATAATCTACCCTTATAATTCTAAGATAATATTTTTAATAACATAAGATTGTAATTTATTTAAAAATTTGTAATTTTTTATAACAGAAGTTTACATTATAATTAAAAAATTATCAAATGAGATTATATGAAATTAAAATGCTAAAGATAATTATAATAAAGTTTTAAATTTATTTGTTATAGATAAAAGTTATTGTATTCAAGCTTTGAATTCTATGACAAGTAATATGTTAGATCTTATTTTGTAGTTTACTCTCACTACTAGAAACATACTTTATACATATGAATAATATAGATAGATTTTTTTTGTCTGCAATACAGATAGATTTACAGACAGATTTCTCTAAAAACTTTAAAAAATAAATCCATCTGTATTTTTCAATTTTTTAGAAAAATCTGTCTATAAATTTGTCTGTAATACAAACGGAAAAAATTCATCTATATTATCCGTCTATATTACAACCCGCTATTTGGCGCAAAAACTCAGATAGAATTACAAATGGAACGGAATTTTTTGTCTGTAATTTAAAAATTAGCAAAATTTTTGAAGCGGAAGTTATAGACAAAAAAAATTCATCTATATTTTTTTTTTTTGCATAACATCACTATCAAAATAATTTCTTATCTTTTAGTTTAGTATAAAAGTAATTACATAATTAAAAATAATAATATAAAATTATTTTAAATAATTATTAATTCATCTTCCTTTCTTGATTCATCTCTAAATATTATATTTTTAATTGAATTCATGTATTTTTTTTTAAGTATATGCAAGAAATGATATATGGATTGATTGTTTTATAAGAAACTAAAATAAAAGAGAATTAGGTAAATATTATTTACTTTCAAGTCAAAACAGTTATAGTCAATAAAAAGTATACATAACATTAAGCATTTTGACATAAGTGTAGTTGTAGAATAATGTCCTGTAATAAATATTAATCGTTATCCTATTTATGTAGAACTTAATCACATTAAATGATTAATTATATACATATAAAGTACTAAATCTATTCTCATATGAAAAAGAATATATGACTAATTCAAATTTATAAAAAAGTAAAAAGGGATCCTAAAAGGAATTAAAAGCTCAAATATTAAAAACTTGTGAAGAATACCAATGGACTTCTTGAGGTGGAGAATTACAATCACAGATCCAATTTAATGTAAAGCACACAACAATAAATAGTAAGAATAAGAACATCAATGTCCTTTAGCAGCTAAGTGCGTGCCAGATAGCATTATGCATACATATTGAACATATAAATTAAAATAATTATCGATTAAAATGAATATGTTACTAAAGTGCAAAAGAAATTAAATACTATCCTCATAAATTTCTTCTATCTATTATCTAAGAAAATCATGAAATTATAATATTTTGAAAATGAGTCCAATGAAGACACAATCCAACTTGTATTGAGCAAGCACTAAGTCAATTTAAAAAAAAAAATTAGATTCTTATGACTTCTTCTGGAAAGATGTTGTCCCTATTATGGTGGCTAAGATAATGCCATAACCGACCTCATTAAATGCACTCACATTGGAGAATTCAGCAAAGTTGTCCCATAAGCTCATATATCTCTAACCATGAATTATTCTTGACAAGTGACAACTTCAACAAAAACAATAAAAAAAGAAAAAGAATTGTTAATGTCTATTACTTTAGCAGATATATTTATAATTGTATAATGAAAAGTATGAAAAACAAAACTTGAACATGTAGAAAAAAATATTAATTGATAAAATAACAAAATTTATTATCTTACTCCATAAATAAATAAAATTTTAATACAAATTTTATAATTATCTTTTTTTAATTTAATCTTATTAATATACTAAAATATTTATTATTAATAATTAAATATTCAGTTATAAAATTTATTAAATGATATAATATTTAAATTTTAATTTAAAAATTATATTTTTTTAATAATATCGGTGCAAATAAAAAAACTTATTGGCATTAAATACATGACAGTTAAGACTCTGATATTGTTTAACAATTAAAAATTAATATTATTAGAATAATCTGTATTTATTTTTGAAACAAATGAACAATAACTCAAGAATTAGTTAAAAGTATTGTATTAGCAGAGCAAATAGAATACACGACGCAGCGACGCTTACACTAAATAAATACGCATCAGAATCAGATCAGTACCTTTATCATCACTCTTCACGAAGGATTATTTGTGGGATGTGTGCGATTTGACGACTAACAGCACTTGTCTCTCTTCGGCATTCTTCAATCAGGAGGGAACATTCCCCGACTTCAAACATCTTTAAGTTGGTAAGACCACTTATTCCTTCGGGGAGCGATGCCAAATGTGGGCAACCAGAGATGTCAATGTGGTGAAGCGATGCGAGATTGCAAATCCAATCTGGCAAAGCCTCTAGGTCGTTACACCCACTAATGCTGATTTTTCGCAGAGAAGGAAGGCAGTTGGTGTCGTCCTTAAATCCAATTCCAAATTCCTCGAGTGTTTCACTTTCACACTGATCAATTAGAAGAGACTCGAGAGAAGTCAGATTTTGCATCCAACCCTTTGGTAACGCTTTGATGTTTACATCATTACTAATCCTCCATTCTTTGAGCATGGAAAGAGGAGCAGCGGAGGAAGATGAGCCAGCTGAACATGTTGACGCTCTTGTGTTTAGTGTTCCTATTAATGGCTCCACACTACTATCACACCATCCTAAATCCTCAAGGGCCAGAAAAGTAGGCATGCAAGTCAACTGTGGACACTTGGAGAGAAGTAGATGAGAAAGATGAGGAAATGAAAGAGGTGAGGAGAGATTATGTGAATCATTGATATCATCTCCCTGCCTCCGCCATCCCCTGAGCTTCGGACAACTTTCTAATAAGAGGCTCTGCAAAGAGGGGAAGAAGGTTACTGCAAAACCATCTTCGTAGAGATATATGTATTCCAATTCATCAAGAAATTCTATGTCAAGTGACTTCAGGGACGGGAGACGTTCCAACGGTGGGAGACAGCGACAATTACTAAGAAAATAGAGACGAATGTCAACAACATTTGTGAGGAGAGAAAGCCAATTTGGGAAACGCATGCCTGGATATTCCTTCACCTCCAATCGCTTGAGACTACGGTGGGGCTCAAGGTTTTCTAATAATGGTAAACTGTTACCGATGATGCTTCCGATCGACCAATCTAGAGTCAAGGAATGAAGGAATTTTTTTTCTTTTAAATTTACATCATGTGATTCCACAGCCACGTCTCTGACACGATCGAGATGCTGAATTTTTAACTTACCTTTTAGATTTAAGTCTTTCAATTCATGTAATGTGCCATATTTTGTTTCTTGGCTGTCTCCCACAACAAAGGTCGATAAGGATTGCAACGAGTACAACTTTCCCAACCCAACTGGCATCCCACTCAAAGAGAAATCATCAAGGATGTCAAGATATCTTAAATGCTTCAATTTTCCAATTGAATCGAATAATTTGTGGAAGGAAAGAGATGACATCCTCAATACGCGCAAGTATTTGAACTTTGCAATAATCGACAAATATTTCTCCTCTTCGAAGTCATTCGGCAAAATCAAAGTTCTCAGCCTGTTCGGATCTAATGACTTCAACACATTAATAGTCTCATCAGATTCCAATGACACGTGCATGGGTCTACCTTCAACTTTTTCTGTCTTACTGTCCAAGTAACAATAATCATTGCCAGCAACAAGCATTGCAAGATCATGCATTAAATCATGCATTTTGAAACTAAAGATCTCACCATGTTCATCCCTTGTTGTTTCTTGGAAAAATGAGTTCATCAAAAACATCTTTACAAATTGATTACCGACATCCTCCATCTGCTGTTTTTCAGTTGAACAATTAAGGTAACCCTGTGCCATCCATGACTTAATCAACTCATCCTTTGGAATTTCTGAATCCTTGGGATATAATGAGCAATAAGCAAAATATTGTCTCATGTCTGACGACAAGTTGTGGTAACTGACTTTTAGAATTGGCATAACACTATCTTGCTCTTCACATAATTTCCAGAAGTCACCGTGTAAAACATTCTCCCATCTACTTTCTTGGTTTTGTCCTCGCAACAGGCCTCCCAGCGTTTTAACTGCTAGTGGAACCCCTTTGCATTTTTTGGCTATTTCTTTCCCCATTGATTCTAGATTTCGATTGACTCTGGAATCATCCTCAAATGCAATGTTCTTCAACAAACTCCAAGATTCTTCATCAGTCAAACCTTTCAAAGGATAGGAAGTGCTAGCAGTCATTGCCTTTGCTACATTTTCACTTCGAGTTGTCACTAAAATCTTGCTATCTTGAGCGCCACACATCAGGTACTTTCTCACTTCAGCCCACTTTGTATGACACTCATTCCAAATGTCATCCAAGACCAACAAATATTTCTTACCACTTAAACTTCTACGGAGCTCTTTTTGCAACTTCTCTAATGATTGGTCTTGTCTTTGGCCATCAGGAATTGATTCTAATATTTTCTTCAGGATAGTTTTAACATCAAAGTTATCAGAGACACACACCCACATTTGCATTTCAAAAGAATTCTGCTCTTCCAATTCATTATACACCAATTGAGCAAGAGTTGTCTTCCCCAAACCACCAAGGCCAACAATGGCAATCACAGAAACTTTCTGGTTTTCATGAGGTTGTGTCAACAGACTAATAATCTCCTTTTTGCTATCATCTCTTCCAATGATATCAGATTTTAACACAAGAATCTGTTTCCCTGCATTCACTGTCAGTTTGCTTAACCAACATAGAACTTGGGCTAAAATTCAAATCCTTCATTTCTTTTACTACACCGTTAAAACTTTCTCGTATTTCTTTAATTTTGTTAGGCATTTCATTGTATAAAGGAAGTTGATTTGAAGATGAAATGGAACGAAGTACCCTGTTTACTTCTTTTACGTCGGTTGCACCCAATTTGTCTCTCCTAGATTCGATAGCAAGATCATCTATGAAGTCATCTGCAGCATAAAGTACTTCTTTGAAGTCAGATATCCAATTACGCACACGAACTTGATCTTGTTTGTGGTCAGCATCAAGGAGCACATCATTGATAGATTCAATTGTCTTCTTAAGCACTTCCAACTCTTTTTTCACATCATACTCCTGTCCAAATTCAAGAAATTCTGCGGAGGCCAACCTGTGAATGAGATGTCAAGAATAAATGTCTACATTATTATTTTCTTGTTTTTAAATTTTTAAAGGAATCATACAAAACGATAGTTCATTATTTTATACATCATACACCATGGAACATTATACAAGAATAAATAAAATAAACTTAATTAAAGAATAAATTTCCTTGACATAATCTAAAATTAATTACAATTGTTATTTTAATAAATTATATATAAGCTCAATAATTAATTAAAATTGATTAATTATAATTAAATATAAAATTACTGATTAATTATTTTTAAAAAATATCAACGTAATATAGTTTTATATACTTTATCTAATATGTTATACCTGTTAAAAAAATTATTTAATTTATTTTTAATTTTTATATTTTTAAATATATGTAAACACTTTTATTTCTATAATTTATCCAAATTCTAATATCTATTACTTTGTTTGATTAATATAATTTATTCTTGTTTTTATATATTTACAATTGCATTGAGTTTTCATTTTTAATTAGTGTAATATCAGTTGATATTTTTAATATTTATATAAAAAGTATATTTAAAAAATATAAAATAATCAATAATGAATACTATGGTTAATTAAAAAATATTAATTAAAAACATATATATATTGAAAATATATCTTAATTATTAATTATTGTCATTATCTCCATTATTATTAGAAGATAATCTAGAATATAAATATTATATATTTATTGTTATGATCTTTATAATTATCAAAAGATAATTTAGAATATTATTTTATGTAAATATTAATCTTAGACTTGTATATGTAAAATTATAATGTATAATAACAACATATAATTTAGAGTTTGTATTAAAAATTTTGATCAGGTAGTCTTTGCTTTGGCACACCCAAATCCTAGCTGCCTTGCATCCAAACTCTAGTAGTTTTATTACATCTAGGGATGGAAATAGGTTAGGCCATATATCGGGAGCTTATTACTTGACCTATTTAAGTTTGGTCTAACTTGATCCGTTTATTAGAAAAGTCTAGCTTAAACTTTAAAAAAAAAATATTTAAATAAAAAGGTTAGACTTAAACTTTTTTAAAAAAAACTTTAGACCTGTCTAGAAAAGTCATATATATATATATATATATATATATATATATATATATATATAAAATGTATAACATAGTTTAGTATTTATATTATAATAATATAATATTTATATTTATATTACCAAAATTAAAACTTACTGTAAAAAAATTATGAATTAAAATTTTGTCTAATTTCTAAAAAAATCTCAATCCATTCTTAGAATTCATTCATTTTTAAATTCTATTTAGTCTTTTTAATTCTAATATTTTTCAACTTCTTAACAATTGGCAATTGTTTGTTGGGTTCTAAGTTCTAGTCTCACTTTTAACTTTCTTTTCATAATAAACATTTAAATTGTTAGCTTAGTATTTGAGATTACATAATATAGATATATTACCTTTTATTAGCTTTTGGATTATTTGAGATATAGAATTTTTTGGAGTTATTGAATATAGTCATTTTGAGATATGATATTTGTGAAGCGCGCCATTTATATATATATATATATATATATATATATATATATATATATATATTCTTGACTAAGCTTAGTATTTAAATATAATTACTTATCATATATTTTCTATTTTATTGATAGTAGGTCTTTTGGCTAGCTAGCTTATTGGCTACTAACCCATTAACCTGTTTAATTTAAATTGTCAGGGTTATTTGAAGGCCTTAATATTAAATAGACTGTTGAGCCAAGTCAGACTTCTAAGAAAGCTAGTCCAAGCTTAAAAATTTAGCCTATGTCAGGTCATATCTAGTTTTGTGTAGTAGGGTAGACCCATTTAATCTTAAGCCTGACCTGGCCGAACCCATTCCCATCACTGATTACAACTTATGTTTGCATATGCTTAGACGTTTTTTTTTTCCCTTTGTCCCAATTACCACCACCACCGTCATTACTATTATTATAGTTGGACCACCAATCAACTTGGAAAACTATACTATTTGAAAACATTTTGTATCCAACAAAGCCTCCATGCACTGCCACACCATAAAAGCTCACGTCATTACATGAAAGCCACATGTTGCTTTCTTGACCATTGTTTGCCTTTCTACAAACTGTATTTGTTTGGATGATTGTTTCTTCAACCTTTATAAGTTCTCTATTAAAACATAAGTGTTTCTCACCATAGATGACTCTTGTATCTCTCTTATCATGATTGGTAAGAATTCTGATTTATCTTCTTTTAATACCTCATGTTTTGTATATAGAGATATTTGGATAATTGACTCTGATGCTTCTAATCACACGACTCCTAATATTTCTTCTTTTACTTCTCATTCCACTTTATCTAGTACACATTACATTATAGTTGCTAATGGTTTACAAATTCTCATTCTTAGTTATGGTAATATTCAACACACTACCTCTTTCATTAAAAAATATTCTTCATGTTTTTCAGCTCTCCACTAATCTTACCTCCATTCATACACTGACATGTGATCTAAATTATGTAGTAACATATTTTTTTTTTCATCTCATTAGGTTTTTCAAGATCTTGCCTCAAGGAAGACGATTGGAGTTGCTTAGAAATAGAGATGGTTATATTACGTTCCATCAATGAAAACTAAAGTCCAAAACATTTTTGGAAGAGGAAGACTCAATTTTGTAATTAGTCTTCTTTTGAGTATGACTATTCTCAAATATGTATTCAATATCACAATTTAGGTCATCTACCTTTAGATTGTACTACCTTTCGCTTGTATAAAAGTATTTTTCCTTCTTTATTTTTGAAAGAATGAGTTGAGTTTTCTTAATGTGATGTTTGTCAGTTTGTTAAACATCATTGTGTTACTTTTCTAAATAGTTCTAGAAAAAGGAATGCTACATTCAATCTATCCATTTTGATTTATAGGGACCTACTATGATTTCTAAGTTTTTATGGTACTTAATGCTTTGTATCATTTATTGATGATTACACATTTATGACATGGATCCCTTTTATAAAGGATAAAATAGAAGTGACTCAACTATTTGTGAATTTTTATCACTTCATTCAAATGGGTAAATAACGAAGGAGCATCTATGAAATAAAATTTATTTCAGTTTCTATAAGAAAAAAAGTGTTTTTCATGACTTGACATGTAGGTACTCCTCAACAAAATGAAGTTGTAGAAAAAAAATTGATCTTTTGGAAATTACTAAAACTATGTTATTTCATATGACAATGCCAAAATCATACTGAGGAGAAGAATTTTAATAAATTCTTACTTATCAATAGGTTGTCATGTCACATTTTGAATGGCTTTAGTCTTGTTTAGTCCATGTCTACCTTTAATCCTTTTGTTCATGCCCTAAACAACCTTAAGGTTCATGTCTTTAGTTATACTACTTTTGTTTCATAAAAGCCAACATTATGGAAATTTAAATCCTTATGTTGTTAAGTGTATTTTCATAGTGTATATTCCAAATAAAAAAAAGTTGTACATGTTATCATCTAGGAGATTGAATCTATGTTCCTATAGATGTCACCTTTAATAAGACAAAGTCATTTTAGTCACTTATTCAACTTCAGGGGGAAAGTCATCATAATGTTGACTCTAGTGGTCCATATGAATAATTATCTTTTCTTCCTCTTAACATGTATCATCTATAGGAATTTACTTCTCATTCCTCTAACTCAGGCTAAAAGAAAGTGACTTGTTGCAAATAAAAGCAAGTACACCTATCTTGAAGAGAAGAAAATCTGATTTGATCCAACAACAACTTTAGCCAATCAAATTAGAGGTAAGTTTTAATACCATTAATCTTGAGTTATAAATATTCCTTTAAACAATTGTGATTCTAATGTAGATGCTATGTCCATTGCTTTGGAAAAAAAAAAAACTTCTTATATCAAGAATCATATTTCTCAGTTTATATCTACCAAGCATCTATCTATACAACATCAAAATTTTATCTCTACTATTGATTCTTCTAATATCCCTAAGTAAGTATAGGAAGCCTTAAAAGATGAGAATTTGGTTCAAGTAATGAATAAAGAGATAAATACATTAGAAACAAATACCAATTAAGATATTATAGAATGACCCTACCCAATTAAATATAGATTAAATGGTACCTTTGATTGGTATAAGACCATATTAATTACTAAAAGATACACTCAGACTGATGAATTTGACTATGATGAGACATTTGCACCACTGACCAAAATGAGTACTATGAGAACTATAACACTTCGAGTTTTGTAATTCCACTATGATTATTAATATATATATATATATATATATATATATATATATTATGATTTAAATGTGAAATTTTGACTTGTAGGCTGTATTGAATGGTTGAGAATATAGGTTGATATTTTGTTGTAGGGGCATTCTCGCTATAGCGAGAGGATAATAGAGAGGGTGTGATTTCTGGGTTTAAAATCGCTGTAGTGAGATTATGCAGTAAACAAGTAGAGTTTCTGTCTAATATTTTCATTGCAGCGAGAGGGTGTCTAGCTGTAGCGAGAATATTGCGACTATTAGTATATTTAAGGGTTTAGGGTTTGGGGTTTGGGAAAATGCATTTCTCACTTTCTCTTTCGTTTCTCTTTCAATTCTCTCAATTCCTAGTCATTTTTCACCATTTGGGTCCTAGATCGAAGGTTATGATTATGTTTTGGATGTTTGCAGGTAAGTTCTATGAGTTAGAGTTTTTGGTTCTTACTCTTTCTTCATTCTTCTTGATTTCTCATGGATTATTCTATGTATTTAGGGGAAGAATCAATATAGGGAGCATTTCTACCATTGATTTCGTGGTGGGTCTTTATTCCAAGGTAAGGGGAGTGATCCCAAATCCTAACTTCTCTTTGGTATTTTGAATTGAAAATCTTAAGCTTTTCTATTAGAACCCTATATTCTTCTCTTAAAATCTAAAGTGTAGGAATAGAGAGTTGGACATGAGAAACCCTTAATTACTTTCACAATTATCTAAATGTAACTTGTAGTAA